TTCTATTGACTACACTGGCCGACGGCCATTTTGGTACAACTTTTTTAGGGTAATTTGAGTACGCCGAATCATGGGCGCCGGAAGGAATTCGTCTAGGGGGGGGGGGCCTTAAAGTTTTTTAGAATTTTGATAGATGTTATTTATAATCAAGTTGTACTGTAGAAGTTCACATTAAACTTAAGTCAAATAAAATATCATCTTTATACAGGGTGTCCCAAAAGTTAACGAGATCCTTTGGAGGACTGATAGACCAACTCATGACAAAGCAGAAAATCAAAATATGACCTTAGTAAAAAATCGTTAGTTTTTGACATTTTATGAATTTTGTAAAACTTGACACCTTAGATTAGTTTTTCGAGTGCCACAGCTACAAAATCTGCTATTAATTTAATTTTGAATTGTAATTAATAGCAGTCCTATTCAGGGTTTTTGTGTAAAGTTTCACAAAATTCATAAAAATGCCAATATCTTAAAAACTAATGATTTTTTACCAAGGTTATGTTTTGATATTCTGATTAGTCATGAGCTGACCTATGAGTCCTTCAAAGGATATCGTTGACTTTTGGTACACCCTGTATGTATATTTGTAAATTTTACACAATTATTAGCACCATCTGTTTATCAATTCACTAGGCTTATGAAGAAATCTCTTCTATAGTCGACTTTTTCAACATATATAGTTCGTATATAGAAATATGTCAGCCAAGAACGTGTCTTACTCAGGGATGGGCAAGATCCGGCAAAAAGGATTTAAATCTAAATCCATAAATCCACACCATAAACCATAAACTGGATCTAAATCCTCAATCATAAATCCATTACGTTATCTGGATTTAAATCATAAATCCCAAATCTACTTGCAAAAAAGGATTTAAATCCTGAATCCATAAATAAATCCTCTATTTTTTTAATATTTATTTAATTAATTTTCCAAGAACAGTTTCCGGATTATTTCAATTTTTAAGTTTTATTTAAGCTAAAACCCCTTGGATTCCAAATTAAAATTGATATGAACCTTACTGCACGTATATAAGATTCCATCGAAGATCTTTGGAATATGAACATAATGATCTGTGGCTTCTGGTTTCTTCGCCATAGGATTATGAACGGAATCAGTAAACTGTGCTTCTGATTTCTTTGAACATCCAGCCATTTCATTCATTTTACAACTGTAACAACACTAGTGTTCATTAAGACGGCACAAATCTTAAATTATAAGATAACAAATCTAATTTATCTAAAAAATAATGAACAAATGATAACGATCAGCACTTACCGTCAAATTATGAAGTACCGGAATTTCTGGGTATGAATTTCCAGGGGGGGGCCCGGGCCCCCCCCTGCCTCTATGTAGCGCCGAATCCAAAAATGACCATCATTTTGCTCAATCAGCTTTTGTTTTTGCGATGTAGACAAAAAACCATTTTTTTATATGCGCACATTCAAATGCTTAAATATATTTTTTTTAACTTCTAATTTAAGCAAGGATAGTTGGTAATGTTGCTATCATCGAAAGAAAATCGATTTTTTAGCCAAAATTCGGAAATTTTTAAAATTCAAAGTGATACAGCATGATCAATTTTTGCCCGATTTAAATAAAATTTACCCTATTTGTAGCTCTATTTATCTATTTTATTGTGATCAAATTTTAATGCAATCAAATAAAAATTGGCAACATGACAATAAAATCAACCAAAATTGGGTACTGCGTGTACCACTTAAATAAACTCCTTGAATAGCTATTAATATTCACAGAGCCTAAGATTTTAGACCTGATTTTAAGTAGGTATGTTTAATAAGATGTCAAAAATATTATTGTTTTTTTTTATTAGTTTTAGTGTAGGAGAGTATGAGTAGAGTATCTGCTGCTGCTCTCAATACTCTACTATCATACACTCTGCCGTGCTAAAGTAAACCCCCGTATCTGCAATATTAAATAATAAAGGACAAAAGATACTTTTTATTGTTTTTAACAATGAAAATGATCTTTTATTTAATATTGCAGATACTGCCAGTATCAGTATCATACTGGGGTTTAGCTTAGCACGGCAGCACTAAGGTAAGTGCGGGTAATAAGGCCCAGCAGGTTATAAGGCCCGACAGCCATTTTACCTTCATTTTTTAAATTATAATACTGGGGCTGCCATCTTATGATTTTACTAGGTAATATTTAATATTCAATAGAGTTCCGCCTTAATAAGATGTCGTTTGCTGATAGTAAATACAACAAGTGTTTCGACAACAAGTTTCTTTCGTGAAATTATAAAAATTGTGGTATTTTCCTAGAGCTGTGCCTAAAAAGTGTTTATTCAATTGCTGCGCCATTACAGGTATGTATCAATACACATATTACCAATGTTTTCCTAGAAAATGATTGGTTTTGTACTATGCATGGCTGAGTTATAACCTTAAAACAAGGATCGTTACAAAGCAGGTAATAAGGCCCACCAAATAATGAAACTGGGAAGAAACCCCAAAATGAGAGCGGCTCGGCAACAAAATGCAAGAAGAAAGCGAAGATCACTCAAACGAAGGCCACTGTAGAACCATCGACCTCGACAGAAAGCGCAGACGCCAACCCCGAGGAAGCTTGGTCCTGCAAGCTTTGTGAACTGGATTTTAGGCTGATATGCGTCAGTGTGCCATGTGCCTCACCTGGGTTCATGAAAAATGTGTCGGACTTACGCCTGAGGATGAAGATGTGTTTATTTGTCCCAAATGTGCACCCTGAATGGATGGGCTTTATTATCTGTTGAGCATGAAATAAGGCCCATTAACGAGTTTTTTAAAAACCTAAGAATTTTTCTTTTTGTATATTTCATTTGAGTTTATAAATGTTATAGTATATAGTTTAAAGTTAATATATGTTTATGAAAGAAAAAAAATTAAAAAATGTTCATGTTTTCTTTGTTTTTTTAATATAATGCGTTAGGTGGGCCTTATTACCCGCACTTACCTTACTCTCATTCAATTTTTGATTGCATTGAAATTGTAACACTATAAAGTAGATAAATAGAGCTACAAATGGGGTAAATTTTATTTAAATCGGGCAAAAATTGATCATGCTGTATCACTTTGAATTTTAAAAATATCCGAATTTTGGCTAAAAAATCGATTTTCTTTCGATGAAAGCAAGATCTCGAGTTTTAAAGCAATGTATATGGTTTTTTTTTGTTTAATAAAGACCCATAGCAACATTCCCAACTATCCTTGCTTAAATTAGAAGTTTAAAAAAATATATATAAGAATGTGCGCATATCGAAAAAAATGGTTTTTATTCTACATCGCAAAAACAATAGCTGATGGAGCAAAATGATGTTTATTTTTGGATTCAGCGTACCTAAATTACCCTTAAAAAGTTGTTGGTTGCCATGCACCAAACATAAATTTTATTTTTGTCGGCCTGTGCTATTAATTAATTAATTAAGGGACTAAGCTTAGTCCCTTATAAACAGAGCTTCTTTATTAATAAAATTAAATCTTTATTAATGGACATGCGCCATCACAGATGCACATATCCAACTACTATTTGTAACTTTTGGTGTACCTAAATAGTTATCAAAAGTGCGTACTCAGCGGTGAGAGGTATTGCAACTTTATTTATTTATAACTTTGTTAATTAGTTTTGTTTTGTAGGAATTATGTTTAGTATTGGCCATATTTTCATCTCATTCTGGGACATTAAGGCTGGTTTATAGATACTTACATAAATATGATTTGAAACCAAAATCGTATTTAGACTCTACATTGTGAAGACAGGTAGACATTTGTGTTTAGCGCGGCTAGAGACGAGTTAATACCGCCTCTTGTACTGAAAGAGCGGTGAAATGTATAAATATTGCAAAAACTATCTTAATGTAATATTTTAGATAAAACATTGCAGGAAACTTAATTATATCTGTAATATTATAATTACAATGTTAAAAAATATTGCCAAACATTGCAAAATAGATGTTGCTAATATACAGTGTGTTTCATTTTTATTGGCGACAATTCGGTATTTATTTAAAAAAAGACCGATTTAAAAAAATGTTAATTTGTAGTACTCGAAAAGCTCTATCATCATATGCCATTTCCGATGCCAATTATGATTAATAAAAGGTTTCCAAAAACGTCAAAAGTTATTAGGCATTTTTAAAACACATAGGCACTGTTTCTGAATTTGGCATACCCAAAATCCCCTAAAACGATAATTTTGTATTTGAAAACTTTCGTGATATGTTAAATAAATATTAGAAATTTTTTTTTTGGTATTGGGGAATATTTCCAATATTTGTTTGAGAATTTTACCTTGGTATCCCCAACAGTTAACAGCCAATTCTTATGTAAAATTGTTCCCTGAATCTGAAAATACCGTCAAAAATTATGAAAGAGCAGTTTTTGAGTCAATTTCATATTATATGGAAAATTAACTATATCTAAAAAACTTTTGACGACATTTACATGGAAATTAACTGCTAAATGTTCAGGATACAAATTGCTATTGACGAGAATTATTAGTGGCTGCTTTTTCATTTGACATTTTTGACTTTCATTTTTAGAGAGTAGGTATTACACGAACTACATACATAGTTTTGTTGCTCTAGCATACCGAGTTTTCACAAATTAAGATCAAAAATTATAAAAAATAATGGTATTTTAAATAGAAATATTAATTTAGAGGCATATGCCTATATATATAATATTAATGATGGGCAGTTTTACTTATAAATGCAAAATAGAGTATATGCAAATTCAAAACTAGACGAAAAATAATAATATAAATAAATAATAAAATTACAAGCATTTGTTATTATGCATATGGGCACTTTTCCTAACAAATGCAAAATAGAGTGTCTGCAAATTCAAAACGAGACGAAAAATATTATTATATTATTATTATATTATTTATACGCAATGTATAAATGACATAAAAATCCGATTGTTCCGATTTGCAAAAACGCGTCAGTAAATCCAAAATAGCCATCCCCGAAATAGATCGAATCTATCTCAGTTGTTGAGCTGAACATAACTGAAAAACAACTCAGAGCCGTTTCACGCGTGTGTCCAACTTGTTTAAGCCAAATGAGATAACGCATTTTTATTTTTTCTCTCTCGTCAATTAACCAAAACATGGAAGCTGTTTGTTTTCGGTGCAGTGAAATTGAATGACATGGAAAGTACTGAAAAAGCAACCAAAAAGGGTCAGTATTTCCGCTTGCTAATGTTTTTAATTTGACACTCCGCTGTAGGCGGTAAACTTTATTTTTGTCAATTGCTTATACTCGGTTAAATCCCCATTTTTAACATTTCCATTACATAACAAACTTGGCGGCTTTTAAAATACACGTTACATAAAATCGCACACTAAACATCATTGATAATTTTATCATGCATCTCCACCAGATTTACAATTTTCGTAACGAGACAACCTTCCCAAATCTAAAAATAATGGAGGCACAAAAAATTGTATTATTATAATAATAATAGTCCTTGGACATGTTTCAAAAAATATTTTTTAAACATCATTTTCTTTGATCTTTACAAGATTTGAGAGTGTTGTAACAATACATGAAAGCACTGTTAAAACAAACAATAATTGCAATATTTCATTTGTAATTTTGATGTAATAGGTAAACAGTTAAAATTAAACCGAACTAATAAAGCAAGTTTTTTGCACATTAAATATTACACAATTTTCACTAGTGCTCATTCCATCAGCAATTTGGAAAAGTAATAAAATTGAATTGAGATTACGAACATAAAATTAATCAGATAGCTTAAACTTTTCCAATTAGATCCAAAAACAAATTGATTGGGAACGATTTTTTATGTTTTGATAATCATAATTTACTCACACTACCCACACTTTTTGAAATGCATTTATTTTAGTACATTTTTTACTTCATACGAAGTTCATTAAGAGTTTGTTCATCCCATATACCTGACATTTGTGTCCAAAAAACGACCATGTATTAAAAAAACAGAATTGGAATTGGCTATGCGCTTGCAAAAACAAATAAAATGTAGGAGAGATGTTAAAAATAAACTAGACAATAAAATAAGCTTAATTGGCGTATCAAAGTCTAAGAAATTGTATCAAGGATTTTTCTGAAAAGAATGGGGAATAAGCCGACACAACAAACCAAATATCAGAGTCGGATTAAACTTAGGGCCTTTAACCGCTTTAGTTTTTTAGTAAGACATTTTTTAAAACATTAAAATATTCTTTGATTCTTCTAAAATCGGATATTTTCATTATGAGATATCTCGAAAGAGACCCACTTTAAATAATCAAATTTTTTAGGAAACATTCAATTATTGCAATACACATGTGTTATAATAAGTGTTTAAAATTGTATCACTAATACTTTATACCTAGGTTTTTTAGTTTTGACATTTTTAAAAATAGCTAAAAATGCAAATTTTTCAGAAAACATTCAATTATTGTGTTGTAATAAGTGTCACTAATACTTTATAGGTTTTTAGGTTTTGACATTTTTAAAAATAGCTAAATGTTGCGATTCGTCTAAAATTGGGTATTTTTAATCTAATATATGGGTGATTCTACAAAAGTTGGGCAACTTTTGACCTCATCTTGTTTACATAGTTTTCGGAGAAAATTAAACAGTATTTTGTTATGAGAACATAGATAATATAATAAATATACTGTTCCAGACCGGGCCAGTCACTTTTTCAAGCAGTTTCTGAAATATCTGTGTTTTCTAAATTTGAATGCAAGGGAAGTGACGAGTATACCAGGGTACTAATTAAATACATAATTTATTGGAAAATATAAGATTTATTGCAACTTTGAGCATATTATACATTAAATATCTTAAAATCAAATAATACCACACATCAGTGGCGGCTGGTGGATTTTGGGTTTATAATGACATTAAATAAACAAGTTCTGCGCAAGCAGAATTTAAATTGAAGTTTGCGAAAAAAATATAACCGAACATGGAACTGACGACACGGTACTGATGAATGGGATACAAATTTGAGATTATAATTCGGAATTAAGTATTTTACTGATATTTTTTATTAGTGGATGCTACTTATCAACAAATCACATATAGCCTTATATAAATTACAATGAAATATATATACGTAAGAAAATATCTTCGCCGCTTGGACACTGACGGGTAAAAGTGAGTAAAAAAATTATTAATTTTTTTAAAATTGCTATTATTCGAATCCATGATAAAATATGAAAAATACATTATTTATTGTTTTATAGTTTGTAGTAAAATTGAAAAATTTAAGATAAATTGAATATATTTTAAAATAAAATCACTCAAATATTTGATTCAGGAGTTGTGACACGCCAAGGTACTGATGTTGAATATTTATTATGTTTTTCTACAAACGTGCTTTTGAAAAATACATTAAAATTGGATGGACAAGTTAAAAAAACCTGGATCTTTTGTAATATACTAAAATCATTGAGTAAGATGTTGGTTAGTCAATGCTAAAATCTTTACAAAAAATATTAAAATACCTACTATCGCTAACAAAAAAAACTCATACAGCTATATTGTGGCTGTGTGAATAAAACTTTTCCGTCAATGTCAAGCTGACATCGAACTTTGTCACATCTATTATGACTTTTTTAACAACATTTTCAACCAAACAATGCAGACGAACTCTGGCAAGCCATTGAAGCCATTTGGAACGAGATAAAGCAAGACGGCGACTTCCAGGCTTTGCCGTTTGCGGGCAGTAATTGACAAAAACAGAGGGATGACGAAATATTTTTTTTTCAAACTTCAACCTAACTTTGTATTTAATTTTAGACCTTTCAAATGTGACGTATCATGTTAAAAGCCATAATTACCCCAACGAAATGATAGAAAATCAGGAACACTAGATTTTTGAGCTGTATGAGTTTTTTTTTGTTAGCGATAGTACACTATTGACTGATGACATCAAGTTGTCCAACTTTTGTAGAATCACCCATATCTTTGAATCTGAGGTATCTAAAAAGAAATAAAATAAAAATCAAAATCTAAAGAAAAATTTTTTTGTGTGTGTATTTTTAATCAGAGATATCTCTTATAAGAGTATACTCTTAATCTGAGGTATCTTAAAATAAACAAACTTAAAATATCCAAATTTTCACAAAACATTATTTTGTTGTGTTGTCATAAATTTCATTACTGAAATTTTTAGACATTTTAAAAATAGCTAAAATTTCAGGAAGCGCTTTAGTAAAATTCTAAAAAACACATTGTTATTTTTGTTTACATATTGTTATTTTTTACTGTTTACAATCTTAACAAAACAAACGCCACACTATGTTATAGGGTGCCTCAAAGGTCGCGCTTTGCTTGCTCGTCATAAAGACCGCAAAATCCCATTCCCTGCATATGTCAGGAATATTCCCTGGATTATTCCAAACGTACCAGAATATTCCCAGGAATATTCCTGTCGTAATCAAATGTCCGCTTTTTGGTTAACCCAGTCATCATAAAGGGAATGTTTTTAGATGGTGTTTGGAAGTTTTAGAGGATCATTCTATGGAATATTCCCAATGAATATTCCTAGAATGAAGCGGTTTATTCCTAGGTGATAGCGCATATTCCTGGAATATAACCAATTTGTAGAAAGAGAAAATTATTTATTGTTTTTGAATATATAGAACATTCACTGGGAATATTCCAAAATGTTGCTTGGAAGTTGTGGAGGATTATTTTATGAAATATTTCCAATGAATATTTACTGGGAATGTTCTTAGATGGTGCTTGGAAGTTTAAGAGGATCATTGTAGGAATATTCGCAATGAATATTCCTAGAATGAAGCGGATTATTCCTAGTTGATTGGGCATATTCCTGGAAAATTTTCGAACCTTCATTGCAGTCTGGGAATATTGCTCGTTCGCCCTTTTTTATGTCCTATAGGAAATCTATAGACTTTTTTAGATATTTTAAAAAATGTCCAATTAAAAATTTAATAAAGTCTTAGTGATGAAATTTTAACAACCTATTAAAGAATGTTTTCTGAAATTTTGGATTTTTAAAGTGTCCCTTTAGAGATGTTTCAGATTAAATATATATAATGAAGACTTACTGATGAAATTTTAAGCACACAATAAAATAATGTTTTTTGAAAATTTTAGATTTTTAAAGTGTGCCCCTTCTGAGATATATCACGAGGGGTACCCTTTGATTATTTAAAATTAAAAATCGCATAAGCGTCGCTATAGTATATTGTTTACCGAGAGTGGAATCATAGCAATTACTCCCGATAATGAAAGTTTCCGAACGAGCCGATAGACGAGTGAAGGAATTTTGACGTTTCGATTTAAAGTCAATCACATTGTAGCGTTGTCATGATGGCGAGAGGGAATGAAATATTTCTTACCTGATATCAGGGAGGGAATAAAAATATATACAGGGGAAAGATTAAGATTATTCACGGCGTGAAAAATTAATGTTATTAATTATTAACAATTGCGAATACAATCGGCGCATTATTAACCACTCGACTTAAAATATAAATTTCTAATTAATAAGAATAATTCTTTAAAAAAAAATATTTTTCCTTATTGATAAGGGTCGAATAAGGAAAAATCAGATCACAACGTCCATATAACGTTGATTTTAGAGTGGTTTACCCCTCGATATTTCAGATTGTAAATACCAAATTTTAGACAAATCGCAATATTTAAAGACCCATTAAAAAAAAAGATGCAACCCTAATGCCTTAAACTTTTTTGGGAAATAGTATACTATAAAGACTATACCGAGAAAAAATATTTAAGGTGAGCCTTAGGGGCATTCCACGTTACTCGGTAATTTTTGTCCCGCGTAAAAACCATAAGTTATTAAATTAATATTTTATAATATTATTTTTATTGTGCTTATAACTTATTAAAAGCATAATAAACAATATTTTAAAATAAATTTTATAACTTGTAGTTTTTACTCACAATTTTTAATTGTGACGGGCGGGACAAAAATCCCCGAGTAACGTGGAATGACCCCTTATAAACTATAGTTTTATCTTTTACCTTTTAAATTGTAGTAAAGTTTTTATTTTGTAAACGTTAACATTAAATTTAACATTTAAAAAAATTAATTAACTCTCTAAATATAGTACCTACAAACATGGATTGACCCAAGAATAAACATGGATTCTATTTTTTCTCCAATTTAGGAAAATAAACCATATTGGAGGCAATAAATTAAACATAAATCC